TGAAGCTGTATTAACATCCAAGACATCAGTGACCATTGGGAACCTGTGATTAGTCCAAGCCACAAAACAGGAAAATAGTGTTTGCAGGGTGTAGCAGGGGGCCTTCTTGGGGCCGCTTTCCCTGTCTTCCTGCCCACCTGCTTCTGGGCTAACCACCTGCCTTCTCACCTGCCACGCCTTGTTGTTAATTATGTAATAGATGTTAATTAAGTGGGAGGCTGCCCATTTCCTGCCCCAATGCCAGGAGGCGCTATCTGCGGCTCCATTCCTCCCCTACACTGCAGTTCAAGCCTCGCAGATGGCATCTAGGTGTTATCACAAGTCACTGGCCCCCGCTCTGGGCCCCAGAATCCTCCTAATTGAACCCCACCTGGATTCCTCTCATCAGGCGGTCTCATCCGCCTTCATACCGGGCAACATAGCTCCCTGAACTGCTTCCCCTTCGGGTGTGATCCCCCCACCAGGACCTTTAACTCACTAGCCCTGGTGCACCTCCAGGCCAGCCAGATCCGACCCATGGACCGCATTTTGCCCACCCCTGGGTTACAGTAAACCACAAGCTGAATATGAGCCAACTGTGTGCTCTCGTTGGAGTGTTTTTTTGCAAGTCAAGGGAAGTGATTCTTTCACTCTATTCAGAGCTGGTGGGGCCTCACCTGGAGTACTGTTTCCAGCTTTGGTTGCCACACTTCAAAAAGGATGTGGACAGATTAGAAGCAATCCAGCAGAGAGCTACAAACATTAGATGCCTAGGAAGCATGATTTATAAGGACAGACTGGAAGCACTAGGATTATTTAATCTGGAAAAGTGTTTTCAAATACCTGAAAGAGGTATCTGACTTCCTTATAGAGGATGGAAATGGACTTTTCTCTGTTGCTTTAGGGGACAGAACTAGGAGCAAATGAACTTAAGCTGCAGCAGGGGAAATTTAGGTTGTAGATAAGGGGGTATCACTTTTCTGACAATGAAATTGGTCAAATATTGGAACAGGTTACCTAAAAAAGCTGTGGAATCTCCATCCTTGGAAATTTTCAAGAGCAGGTTGGACAGATACTTGGCTGGGATAACTTAGGGTGATTTTGCCTTGAGTAGGGGGACAAGACTAGAATAACTTACAAGGTTGCTTCCAGCCCTAGTTTCCTCTGATCCTATAAGGATAATGATAAGTACCTAAGACAAATAAGGATAGGGAAAAAGGAAATTACTGTATCAGAGGTGGAAGCAAAGCAGATTACTTACTGAGATAAAATCAGAAGAGAAGGTTAAATAAACTCCATCACAGAATACTGAATGAACGGGCATTTCAAATTGTTCCTCCAGTATGCAAAAAGTTTCAATTAACCTACCAAATTCAGCAGTAGTACCTTGTGACTCAACAATGGCAAATGTAAAACTTCTCTTCACTGAAAATAGGGATAGAATGACAATCTTTATAGCTTCTCTCTCTCACTAAGACAGAATGGGGAAAGAAGCAATTAAAACCAACAAGTGACAGATGGGCTAAAAGAAAAAGGTAGAAGAAAATAAAATTAAATAAGGCAATTTCACTGACTTGTTCAAAAGAATAAGAATACAGTACTGAAGTGATGATGGATTTTTTCCATTCTCCTTGAAGGAATTAGTAAGATTCTGAACAGAAAAGAATCCCAATTAATGTATATGTTACCAATAGGACTAATCTGAAATTTCACTGTCTTCAAGGAGAATCTTTTTCTTGAAATCTATACTAAATTAAGCACTTTGTTTTCTGGAGCTGAATATGTACTTTTGAAAACTCTGTGTAAGAGGCAGGAATTTCAAAAGAACTGTCTGAAAAAGAGCAGCCTTTGAAAATAAAGAGAACATAAGAAGTCAAATGACAGCAAAAGAGGTACAACAAGAAAAAGAAGGGAGTAAGAAAAAGTTCTAATTAACAGTCCTAGCAAGCAAGTAATAAATGTGCTTTCATCAAAATAGTTTTGAAAAAGAGAACAAAAGAACAAAGCATGCTAACAAATGTAATAAATCTACAGAGTTATCGTTGTTTTTCCAAGGACTATTATAAGGTATCCATACATTTAACCTTTCAGATAAAGTACATTTTTAAAGAATAGTGGAAGGCTCCAATATATATATATTTGGTTTATTCCACCACTCAGTTAGGAAAACTTATACCAGCAGGTCCTTTTTTTAAAGAATGAGGAAAAAATCTGAAAAATTAAAGGGGTTGAAAAAGAAATAATACTTATTGCTAATACAGTCCATTTAATTACCATCCTTGATCTATAAAAATAAGAGTGAATGTATAGTTCTAATATTAATATTTTTTTAAAAGCCAAAAAGAAAAATACGCTTGTTCTTACAGCCTCTGATTTGCCTTTGCCATGGGCTTTCATTTCCTTTTCACTTGACCTTTCTGTGACTTGAATAGGTAACAACGAGACTGACTCTTCGTCAGCTGGCCTAGTTGTATATTGTGCATTCTCATAGTCCTGTTCACCCAACCGATTTACTTGAGTCTCTTCTATAACAGGAAGTGATTCATAAGCTTTATACAGGGGTTCTCTCTCCTGAACAAGGATTTGCTCCCTTAATCCATTTGCTGGCATTCCATAGTCTCTACATATTTCTCTATCAGAATCTTCTCTCTCAAGTTTAACATCTTTCAGTTGAGATGACAACAGAGTTTCTTGTATTTTCTTAGTGTCTGTTGAACTTCTTTTTCGAAATAATTCATTTCCAACTTGTTTCCCATTGTCAACTGCTGATAATTTCTGTTCTGGCTTATCAGCTTCATTAATAGATTTTCTTCCTGAGCCTGCATTATATTCTCCTTTGCCTTTAGATTTTGTTGGTTTTTTGCCCTTTCTTGATAAATCCTTAGAATTGATCTTCACATCACTGTTAGCATCCTCATTACCACTATCTGCCTTTGCATATGAGAAGTGTGCATCTTGAATAGAGGCAGGTGCTGCTGGTTTTGAGAGTTGCTTGCTAGCATTTTCAGTTTCCTGTTCAAAACCAATATTTACAGTAGAGTAAGTGTTGTGCTTTAGGTTTTAATTGAAAAAAGAATATAAGCACTTGCAGGGGCAGATCCAGGCAGGGTGTAATGGCATGGCTATACCTCCCTTCTGGACCACACTGTGCCACAGAAGCCTCTAGACTTTTCTGAAGTCCCCAAAGCAAGTGAGAATTCCATGGTCAGATGCATGTCCCATCCCCTCCTTTCCCCTGCCTCCCCTTCCCTACCTGCTGCTGCTTTCCCCACTGTCCCAGGGGTGGGGGAAGCTTCAGAGTTGCTCCTACCTGCTCCAGCCAGCCTGCCTGGAGGCTGAGCTCAGCTAGGACAGCCATAACAGTAATGGATGCGGGTGATACCCCCTCCCCACACCTGCTCCTGAGGAGAGCTGGTAAGTCAGGGAAATCCACTCCCTACTTATCACAGTTGCTGCTGCACCAACTGAGCCCAGCCCCAGTGTAGCCTGGCTGGAATGGGCAGGAATATCTCTGAAGCTTCCCCCACTCCCAGACTGCAAGAAAAGCAGCAGCAGTGAGTGAGGGAAGGGGGCAAAGGATGGGAAGGGGACATGCCTATGAGCCAGGATGGGTGGGAGGGCGATTCTTAGCTGCTTTGGGGACTTCAAAAGGTCCCTGGAGGCTCCCACAGTGTGGCCTACCTGCATGGGCTTGGGAGGAGGGAGGAAGGGGAGAGCCAGGAGTGGCATGCAGCCACTCCTGCAGGATGGGTTTCTGCTTCCAAACCCCACTTTGTCAAATCCTGGATCCACCCCTGAGCACTTGTTAAAAATACTAAAGTGCTTACAAGTTTCAAAGTAGTTTAAGGTTAAAGGAAGACACACGGTTTAACCCTCATATAGAACTAATTAATACTACTGAATTAAAATTATGAAACAATTACTTAAAGATTTTCAAAGAATGGGCTGAAAACAGACTGCAAATTATGTTTCACCTAAAGGCATAATTCATCCTATTCTGAAATTCATTACGATGAAATCCATTATGATTAATACATTAAAATCAAAGACCTATGTTCAGACAATATTAGGACTTGCACATTAAAATAAAAACAGGAAATGGAAAAAAATTCTATAGAAAAGTTCTCCATATCGCATTATGTAGTATGGTTATTCTGATTTTTAAATATGTACTTTATTTTTTATGAAATATATAGCATTAAATAACCGGATGCACACTGTGATCAAATTAACATTGCTTTACATTTCATGACTTTTTATTTTAGCTGCAAATCTTTAAAGGTGCATTATTAACATTCTTTTTTTTTAAACAGGCTGTAGCATGCCACCCCCCAGGCGGCTGCCTGGATCCTGCCTTACTTGTCCCCTGTGGCCTCTCAGGGTCCTACCCTGTTGTCTCTCCTACCATGCCTTGATGTTAAAGTAAAGCAGGGAGGCTGCCCTCAGAGGCCAGTGAGCTTGGGGTGCTATTTCTACTCTGGCTGCACAGTTCCTCTGTCTCCAGTGTATTGACTTGGAGGGGCTCCCCCTGGACCCCAACACAGACTTGGCCCTTGGGCCTTAAATCTTTGCCCGAGCTTCAGCTTTCTGGCTTTGGCTCTCTTGTTCTAGATGAGCCCCTCAGGCTCTGGCTTGTGCCCTCAATCTTTGGGGCTTCAGGCCCTCCTCACAGGGTCTGGGCCTGCACCCACAGTCTTTTTGTTGCATGTTCTGTTTCTTGGTTTGCAGCCTGGTCCTCCCACAATGACAGCAATGCACCCTAGACATTGCCTTTGGCCTCTAATCCTCCGCTTTCAGCTGCTCCCAGTCTTTTGGCATCAAATGTGAGCACAGGTCTAAACCACAACTGCTTCCAAAGTAAATCCTTTATCCCAGCCTGGGGCTGTCACACCATGGTAACAAATGATCATATAACTAAAATAACTTATCCTCTATGTCTGGTGCTGCTGGGCTTCCTTGTAGTCCTCCCAGGGTCTGGAGCTCCCCTGACTGGGCAGGCCAGGCTCTTCCCTCTCCGCTCCCCTCCAGCCATGGTCTGGAGCTCCTATGCTCTGGCAGGTCAGAGCTAGCCTCCCTCCTTGGCTGTGATCCTGGCCTTATGAAGCTTGTAGCCACCCCTCTGGGCCACTGGCCTGATTGCATTGTCAACACCTGGGGCAAGCAGCCATTTTTCTTCAAAGGCTCTCTGGCCCTACTAGTCCCTCCAAGTAGTCTAGTCCCCACTTCAAACCAGTTGGTTGCTTCCTGGCTCTGTCTCTTCTTCCATAATGGGGTAGGAGCCTCACTACATAGGCTCATTCATAATAAAAATAATTTTTAATTCCATTCACCTGAAAATATGCTGTGCAAGATTAACAGCACAGAAACTAGGTTCCTCTTTTCCCCCTGGAAAACTCAGAACAGATCATTAAGGATTTTAGTATCTTCCAGGATTCCTCATCTTTACTTCCCAGTACAAAAAAGTGTGCCCCACCACCCAAGAAAAAATTTAATAATAGGAAATCAAAACAAAAAATGGACAAGAAAGCAAAGGTAAAGCAATAGGCTCAACCCTCCCCACCTCATTCTCTGTATCTGTGAAAGGTGAAACTTCTTCCTTCATCTGACCTGATAACTAACTGCCATAGGCACACTTACAGAACTTCTTTCCCTGAAACATTAGTTATATTAGCAACTTTAAGAGAATGAATACCAGATGAAATGAACTACTGATCTGAACTGATATAGCAGTGTTTATGTTTGAACAGATATGTTTATGTACCCATCAAAATCGTTGCTAAATAATTTTTAATTATTGTACACCAAGTGCTGCAGCGGGCACCAATGGAAACAGAAAAAGGACTAACAAAACATATTTCACAGCTATTTCTAGGATAACCATCAACAGTAATAATATAAACTGATCACCTTACAAGAATATTGTACACATATTTTTCTATCTTCATACCTTTAAAGCTTTCTGTAACTTTTCCTCAAGGCTTTTCTTCTCTCTTTCAAGAGCTTGAAGGCATTCCTATGATACATGAAGAAAGTTTAAGATCTTGTGATTTTTTTCACTCTTATCTTCTGAATCTATGCCATCAGCCTTGGATTTCTTTCATATTTGGCAACTAGAATCAGAGTTAAGTCATCTGATTTCTTTTCTTCTGATCATAATGCAATGATGACAGATTTCTTGTCTGAATAACAACTACAGATATTTTCCGCTAAATAAAGTTATTTTATAACAATTATAATAATTGCAATTTACCTTTATTCACATACCACATGCACCTTTAAAAAAATTAAATTAGCTATCCAAGATTGGGTTGTATGTCTAAGTAAGGAAGCTGATTTTTGTGTTGGAATGAAATCATGGAAATACCTAATAGGCTGCCATGAGCTGTGCTCTCTTCCCTTCCCTTCTCAGCTACATGGAGGAGAGATATAATATGCTGCTCAGATTCATACTCTCTTGTAAACTAAGCAACTCAAACTTTAACTGTCATAGCTGCTGCTGAACTGCAACAGAGTTAAAGCTGGACATGGAGCTTGCAGAGAAAGAGTGAGTAAATCAGAACAGTATATACTGTCCAAACTCCATGCCGCTTCATTCATCTGTAACTGGAACAATGTTTTTTTCTTTATTCTGCCTTCAAAAAAGAGGTGCATGTCTTATTTGGAGATGTGTGGTATGTGCAAAAATGCAATATTTACCACTGGTCTGAAGCACCGAGTCATTTTCTAATATTTACCTTGACTAGTTGTTGTACTACAGTGCATGTGACATGCTCCACTAGAGAATGTAAATTTATTTATTCTAATGAAATTAGAATAAAAACCAGACTATGATTTTTTGTGTAACAAGTAATTATGGTGCTACAGGAGGGACGATCAATCTTGCAGTTAATGCAGTAAATTTGTTTTTACATCTGCCAAATGCCTTCCTGCCTTGAGTAGGAGGCTGACTAGATGAACTTGTGAGATCCTTTTGAGTTCTACTTGCCTCTGATTTTATGTACCTGGGCAAGTCACTTAACTATTGTCTGTTTTTCTATCTATAAAATAGAATAACATTTTCCTATCTCTAAGACCATAGCAAAATTTAATTTGTTACTGTTTGCAAGGTGCTCAAAAAACTATGGTGTTACTTAACAGCCAAATTATGAGCAGGGATTCTGGTTTTCCCTGATAAAAACCCCCCACAAATTCTCTGATAAAAACACCATACTCAGTGATTAAAATTAAAGCTCCCCACCCAAGCCCTGCCGGTGCCTCTCACCCCCCACAGCCCTGTTGGTGTCTCTCACTCCACCCCACCACCAGGCCCTGCTCGTGCCACTTACTTGCCTCTACAGCCTGCTGGTGCCCCTCACCCCCAACCCACAGCCCCACCCCCCACAGCTGCCTGGGCTATGGGGCCTAACACAAAGTAGGTCCTTTTCTGCCATAAATGTGAGGAGTCAACGGCCAAGAGTGCATTGTTGCCAGTCACCAGTACCACATGCAATTAAATTATATCACTGAATAAGCGCTAAAATCACCAGTAACAGAAGAGCTGATACCATTATGAGTAACACCCTTAATAGTACCACATACTTGATAACGGTAATCAACAGTACTAATGTGGAATGCATGTATGAACATGGCACTAGAAAGCAGCCCCCATATAGTTTTAGATGGCCAGAGATGTCATGGGTGTGTAGAGGACAATTGCCCTAAGCTTGGCTAAGATGTAGCCTTTTTTTGCTCATGTCCCCAGGGTATATGTATGCTTGAAGTGGCAATAGATTGAAATATTATCATCTGCAGAGAACAGCATCTGGATTCAGATTCACAACACAGAGTATAGCATTAGACACCTACCCTTCGACTCTCAGGAGCTTTTAAAGAGGAAGCCAAGATGAAGATCAATGGCTTCCCTTTCTCCCTCAAGATCTTATTGGAAGAAAGTCCCTTATCCGGTGATAAAGAATAAACTGGATAATTGGACAAACTGTCCAAAATCAATCAGATTCTAAACACTACTCTAGTCCCACATAACACTTTATCAATACTGCATGCAATATGTTACCTGAGCTTTAAGTAAATCTTCTTTCATTTTCTGATTTTCACTCTCTTTTTTAGTCTGAGATGAAACTTTCTTTGGTTTTCTGTAATTGATCAAGTGCTTTCACATTAATAAGTTTTAATGGTAGAACTATGGAGACGATAAACAATATAAGTTTTGTTAACATGTTCTTCACATAGAAAAGCACGAACTTCAATGTCATTCTTCTTAATCAAATTTATAAAACTGCTTTTCAAATTACTGCCCTTTTTACCAAAGCAAGTATAATTCCATGCCATTCAAGCAGACAAAAGAAAGATTATTACCAAGTACTAGAGACTGAATTTCTCTGGTACAGACCCATATTTGTGGGATGCATATGTTCCTGAAACAAAAGCTCAAAACCCTTTAGGAACATCCACTTGAGCCATACACATGCCCCTTTGGCATAAGCATTCAGACTGACAGCTCATAAAGAAAACACAACTAATTTTCAGTTTCTTCCTCCACAAAATAGTATCAACATAAGAGTCTAAAAAGTGCTAACAAAGAATGGGAAGGGTACATCCATAAATAGAGTGAACCTTCACATGCTTTCTTTATGAATTATGACTTCTGTAACATTAACCAGTCACACAAAACTCAAAGGACAACGGCCCTGAAGAACATAGCTTTCATGAATTAGCAGGGACAGGTGCAGGAAAGAGTTTATGGGTACACTCAACCCCCCTTTTAATTCTTGCTCCACTGAAAGTTTAAAACAAACTGTCCAACAGGAAGAGCCACAAATCTATTCAAGCCAAACTGAGGAAGTCAACTGACTTCATGGCTCACTTATCTACTGGATTTCTACTAGTCTCTTCACTCCACGAGTGTTAACAACCCTTGATCTTCCTCTAGTCAAGCTAGCCTTTTTTTAGTTATATTGTCTGCTTTATACTCCTAGCAATATCTCTCTGCTCACTCCCCAGCATGTCCAATAAAGGTGAACTCCTACCTAAGAACTTGTACTGGGTGGTTTTGTTCCTAGGAGATTCAAACCACAGCAAGTCAGAGAGAGAGAATGGAGGGACAGAGTTAAAAGCAGGTTGATCTGTGCAATGACACAGAAGAGGCAGGAGGGAGTTGCAAAGGTCATTCAAAGAGATAAATTACTGCAGTCACCCTTTCTTAGAATCAGAGAATCATAGAAGTAGGGTCAGAAGGGACCTTGTAGATCTTCAAGTCCGACCCCTGCCTGGGCAGGAGGAAAACTGGGCTCAAATGCCCCCAGCCAGGTAGGCATCAAGCCTCTTCTTAAAGACCCCCAGGGTAGGAGCCAGCACCACTTCCCTTGGAAGTTGGTTCCAAATCCTAGCCGCCCTGACTGTGTAGTAGTTCTTGTATTATTCACTGCAGCAGATAGAAGCTGTACCAGTGGTACAACCAGGACTACATAACGCTGGCAAGGGTGGATGAGTGTAGCTGGTCTCCTACGTAGAGGTACTGCCAGTGGCTTCATGAAGCAAGTCCTCCCCCAACCCCAACTGTTTTTTTCTGTATATTGAAGGTGGAGGGAAGAGGCCAGTTGTGAGCATGCAGTGAGAAGAAAGGGAGCAGTAGTTAAAGCCCTGCTCCCACTTGCTCCATGGCTGGGGGCTGTCAGAGGTAGGGGGAACTGTTTGGAGCTTATAGTCTTCTTTGGGAGTGGTTTTGAGGGAAAGATGCTCTCAGGGGCCACACAAGGGACTGGAGGGGGCAGGTCACAGGCATCAAGAAAATTTTAGGGGTGATGGGGTGACTGCATGGTAGAGGGATCTGGGGTTTTATGGGGGTAGGGATGTGCATGGGGAAGATGGAGTTTAGAATTGAGGGGTATGGTGGTATTGTGGGGGGGAGCGGGGGGGGGGGGGGGGGGGAAGTAAAATGGGGAAAGAACAAGAGAGACTGTGGGAGAAAGGAGCCCAGGGGCTGCAGTGAGGTTTGAATGTTCAGAGGAGCAGAGGAGGACTAAGTGCAGTATAAGGAGTACGTGCCCCACTCTAGAGCTTGTAGTCTGCCACCTGACAGGCTCATTTATATTTATTTTTGCTTGGGTCATATATAGCCCCTAGTTTATTAGTAGGGTTTCTAGTTTCTTTTTAACTGAAGAAAAATATGCATTGTGTTATGGGATGATGCACCTCATCATTTGCACTTCCTTTTCAAAATCGTAGATACATCCATGTGAATTATATATCAGATCTAGTCACTCATTCACACGGTATGTAATACTGTAACTAGAACTTTAGGAAGTTTCATGTCTCCTGGGTGAAATGATGTCACAGAAATGTTATGGAACTGCTCTAGTGCTAATATGTGTTCCAAGACTTTCAGGTGCAAAGACACTCATCATAGTTGAAGTAAACAAAAAAGACTGATGCTTTTGGACTATAAAACCTACAAAACTTCTAGAGATATCATTAGTTTTAACTTTAAAATACCTAGACTATGCAACCTGACTTTTTTCTGAAAAAGTGAGAGAGTTTTTGAAGAAATTGCCAGCCTGTCTCCTTACATTAAAATAGGAGCATGGAATCAGAATCTAAACGAGTGTGGGGGAAACCAATGAAATAACTGACACAGAAAGAGGTCAAATAGTTAAAACAAAAGGTCATTTTGTGGATGACAGTGACCACAACATGATAAGAGTACATGATCCTAAGGCAAGAAAGGAAGAATAAAGTAGAACAGTAGAATAAAGACACTAGACTTCAGAAAAATAGACTTCAACAAACTCAGGGAAATGGTGGGCAGAATCCCCTAGGAGGCAAATCTGAAGGGGGAAGGTTTCCAGGAAAGCTGGCTGTACTTTAAGGAAGCTGTATTAAGTGAAGCTGAATTTTGGACATTTATCTTGTTGGGATCCTTTGACCCCAGCTGACTTCCTTCCCCTGAGGCAGGGGGCTGGACCCGATGATCTTCCAAGGTCTACTTCCAGCCCTAATGTCTATGAAATCTATGAACAGAAGCAAGTTATCCTGATGTGACAGAAGAATGGGAAATGCAACAGATTAGCCTGGCTAAACAGCTATCTGTTCAATGAGTTGAAACGCCAAAAGGAATCCTACAAAAAATGGAAATTTGGTCATATTGCTAGGGAAGAGAATAAGAGTATTGCACAAGCATGCAGGGAGAAAGTTATGAAGGCTCAAGGTACAATTTGAGGGACAACTGACAAGGGATATAAAAAGGCAATAAAAAAGGGGTTCTACAAGTATATCAACGAGTAAGAGGAAAACCAAAGAAACCATAGATCTCCAGTGGAATGCAGAAAGCAATCTAGTTACAGATGATGCAGAGAAGGGTGAAGTATTTAATGCCTTTTTTACTTCAGTCTTCATAAATAAGGCCAGCTACAAGATCATAAATGCAGTTGGCGGCAAAAACTGGGAAGGAGACAAACAAGAATTAGCTGATATAATTCCTTTAAGTAAACTGCAGACCCCTTGTCCAGTAATTAAAGCACCTGCACAAGAATTAACAGAACACAAGATCCTTTCTCAGATTAATGCCTTAACCACTGGTTAGAGAATCATGCTTCTTTTCATTTATTCTTCTGATGGGACAACAAATCTTTAATTTTTTTGCTTCAAGAAACAAGTGTGTTCAGCTTGCAGAAAAGATGATTAAGAGAGGATATGCTAGCAGTGTTGAAATATCTGAAGGGCTGCCATAAAGGAGGAGAACCCCTTTTCTCTATTGCTGCAAGGAGGAAACACGCTAATGGCTTAAAGTTGAGGCAAAGCGGGTTTGAATTGGATATTAAGAAAAACTTTTTCATTGTTAGAACAGTAAAGAGGCAAGAATTCAGACACGCCTTTGTCATTAGTGTCTTCTACTGGATAGCTCTACAATCAGTATATAGATTTTTGGATCACCCTTAAGATGCCTAACTCTCCCCATGTCAGCATAAGGCCCTAAGCATCTAACTCCGGGCAGCTTTGAATTCCACCCCGAAGGCCTGATACCCAGTGTTAGATGTTACAGTGTTAAACTTGGAGGCACCTAACTCATCTGAATATGTCCCAGCCTATCAAAACTGAGGTCCTTAACATTTTTATTATGTAGTGTTTTGTTAGGATACAAACTTTGTTTTGAAAATAATTTAAACTATTCGTAGAGTATTTGTGGGACATATCCATATAAATGATCCTTTATAAACTCTTGCATGTTTGAAGTTATTTTTTTCCTTCAGTAAATATTTATAATCTCAGTCATTTTAGGGAATAAACATGAACTTTTTATCATGATTTTAAAAATTAATTTTTAATCTCTTTCATGAAACAGATCATACCAGGTATAGTTTTTAAATACAGATGATAGAATTTTCTTTGTCTTTGGTATTGAAGAATCAATGCAAACACTCTCCAGATTTTCTTTTTTTTTTAAACAACTTGTAAATAAAGATAGAATTAATTCAGGGAAGTTACAGTATTACTGTATGTATGTATTACAGAATGTACAGTATTACTGATTTCAAAAAAGGAAAATGATAAATAGTGAAATAATTATGTTGGCATTTAAAATCTCACCATTATCTTTCAGAGATAACAGTCCATTAAGATAAACAGGGCACTGCAAATTGACAAGGACTTGCATAAATTAAGAAAATATGCTTCACTAACAACAGTTACTAATAAGTTGGTGCATGTTTTTAATGTTGGCAGGGCTCATTTTTTTTTTCAGTCTCAGCATTGTTATTTCAAGAAAATGATACTACATTTTTTATATTTTAAACATCCCTTCAAAAGTCATTGAAATTTACCTTATAGTACACAATTATCATCTGCATTATGATAAAACCTAGGGATCCCAGTATCTCTAATTTACTAGCTATTGTTCCAGCAGAGTGAAGATGGTCCCCGTGCCCCAAAGAGCTTACATCTTAAGATGTATATATGAAGCAAACAGGGTAGTGGTTTCCATCACCACCTTTAATCCAGCTCCGGTGTTCATTTATATGTGGAATTTTATGGGTTTGTAGATACTGCAGAATGGAAGCTAGGTGACAGGAGGGAGGTAAGAAGGAAAGGAAAGGAAAGAAAGAAAAGGGTGAGAGGCAAAAGGAAGGAAAGAGTAATGCAGGACATTCATCATAGAGTTGAACATAAAAGCCTTAAGGACCCTGCGGCTAACAGCCAATCAGCAGAAAAAAAGGAATAGGAATGTTAAGTGAAAAGACTTTTGGCAAAAGAAAGCTATGGTACAATGGAACAGCCAGGCACTGGGAAAGAAAGCTGTTTCAAGCATCAACAGCAGTAGCATAATTAGAAGGGCAAGCAGAAGGGCTGTGTGAAGCTTCAGTCACTGATTCGATTTGTAGGAGATTTGGCCCGATTCGGCGGCTGAAATCCCAAATCCGAATTGAATCAGGAGACCCATTAATCTCTACGAATCAAATTGGAAGACTCCGATTCAATTTGGAGAGATTCAACAATTCAGTCACAGACATAGCTTTATATGTTTTTTCTACGTACCACAAGGTAACAGGCGCAGCTCATGAATGCCAAGATGGCGGGGCGGATGGAATGCCCGTCACGGCGGGGGCCTGCGGGAGGGCCGTGATCTCCTCTAGGCCCCCTTCCCGTATCAAGTTGGCCCACAGGGCCCCCTCATTTCTCGCCCGCCACGTCTTTGATGGAGATTAAATGTATGGGAGGCTGCCTTACGTCTTCTTGGACATGGGTTGCTGTAATATCTGCCCCGTGGACTCCTGGACGCCTTGTGGGTCCTGTTCTGCAAAAGGGTGCTTCGGGGCACCTTAGCCTTATGGGCTATGCATGGCTCCAACCATCCTGTACCACGCCCCAAGCCTCGCAGCTGGAATAGACGCTGTTCTGTCCAGGTCTACACCCTCTCTTTGGTGCTCGGGCTCTCCGCGGCCCTGTCTCTGGCACATCTCAATAATGCTGCCCCCTTCCCTGGGGCTCACCACAATGCTGCCCCCTTTTCCAGGGCTTCTCAGCAACGCCCCCTTTCTGGGGCTTCTCAACTGCCCCTCTCTGGGGCTGGGGTCAGTGCACCCTGAATGCTGCACCCTTGCTGGCGCTGGGGCCCCCACACTGCTGTGGGTCCCCTATGAGGCCTCCTCCA